GTGTTTTCTGTCTAGTTTCTTGAGGAATGAGACTGCAACTACTGTTTCACTACATGGAAAATTTTTACCTCTAATGCTGTCACCTATCCTATGAATAAACCAGATTTCCATCTTTCGGACAGAAGAGTCTGAAGGATTAAGAAAAGACAGTGTGTGCAAAATGACATAGATACAAAAGAATTTTTAATCCCAAACAACAGTACTTTGGAGGAGGAAACATTACAAATGAATGTCCTTTGTTTCATTACATCATGACAGCAGACAGTAACTGATGAAGAAAGGCATAATGGAAAGAGCATAAAAAGCAGTACTCCAACTTGTTCCCCATGCTCAGAGAGCACAGGTTCAGATAATCTGTACCACACACAATCCAAGGTAGGTTAAAAAATAATGTTTCTTGAATGATCAGCAAAAAGTAGCACACAGTTGAAATCAAGAACATTGAGTATTTTTCTTGGTGTGATTTATCCACTTAACTTTTAAGACAACATACTTGTAATAAAAACAAACACTTTCCGAGTAAGCAGGGGAAAAAAAAGGTACTGAGCACTTCAATACACATCACACAAAATTTCAGTCCTTCCCTGAAGCACGCTTACAGTTCACTGTAAATGCACTTTTCAACTAACTTCTTTGTCAACTGCATGCAGCCTGGTTTAACATCTTGCATTAACGTTTAGCATTAGCAAACTATTCACACTAGAGCTTTAATGAACAATGTTGGAAGCTGATTTAACACGGAAAACATGCCTCCCACAATGTTTCAGTTGACATTTCAAGTACTTTACAATTATAGTTTCAGTTAAATATACAATTTGCACTACTAGAAGTGTATGGAACAATGATACCAAACTAGGGGAGATGTCACGTCAGTCAAGACGTGCACTCAGGCCACTGAAAAGCAGTAGCCGGAATTGAAGAAAGTTGTATAAACATAAAAGCACTTCAAAACTTGTCCCTGCTGACATGCCTATGTGACTGCTTATAAATTATAATTAATGAAGAAAGCTTTAATTCCACTGATGATTTTACATCAGGTCTTACTGTAGAAATACATCACACGCACGTTGCCATAATGTCTTCTTTTCAATTACATACTAAATGGTAGATCTGCATATATGCACATGCCCAGATTCAGGGAATCATGAGCACAAAATAGCCTTTAATCCTTGACCGGACTGAGGAAGGTGAGAGAGAGAGAGCTATTGTAAAAAAGGAGGCCCGCAATAAGGAGAACCTCATCCTTGGGGCCTGCAGAAGGGATTATTCCTGTCATCCATCCCATTAGCTGTCAGGAGAAAATACTATACACTCTCGAATTACTCATCAAGGTCTAAGGGATTTTTTGGGGAAGGTGGGAAGGACCCTTCCATTTTTTTTTTTGAAGGAGTGGAGAAGGAGTAGCTTCCTATTACAGTGTTTTCTTTCACGCTAATTACTGGGCCCTGTGACAACAAACAAATGTTTTAAGATAAAGCTAACACAAGAAGTAGTAGCAGCATGGCATATGTCTAAAACTGGTATCGTTTGTTGCTTGTGACAGAAACCTAAGATTTGTCAGATAATTCAGCTACAAATCTGGACCTGATTCACTCCAGAAACTCTTCTGATAGTTCCTGCAGATTGGGAAGTTACTGCAGACTGCTCTCTGCTTGTATCTGACTATTGACTGATAACCTTTGTTATGCTACAATTAAGGATTAAAGTATCCAAAACCTCAACATCATCTCTCTAGACAACAATTCTATTATCCAGAGACATACATATGAAAGAGTAGGATTAGCCTATTACAAGAAAAAAATTCCATTACGATAGTTAGTCTTGGCTGAGCAGCCAGCATAAAATTGCTTCATGAGAAATACCGAATAGATCCAAGTGAAATTTCTCAAATTCTGAAAAAAACACTTTATGCCTTCTCACTAGTTGGGAACTCTGATAGAAGAGAAGGAAATGGGCTTCCACTACTACATTTTTCCCTTCATCATCTCATCTGGAGTTTTCCCTTTAATTCTGGGGTTATCCCTTCCCGGTAGCTTGCTTCAGCACTCAATCTTTCCTACAGGTTACACCCTTCCACTGCTTAGGGAAGATAAAAACGATGCAATTTCAGTCAAGTGTTAACATTATTGAGAGCACTGTGAATATCTGTGAAAAATGTTATTTCTCACACGCAAACAAAGCTGTCTGCTTTTAGACTTTGTAGTAGAGAGTACTGATTCTGTACATATTCCAAATATGAGCATTATCTTACTAACTAGGAGGACCAGAAACAAACTACTTAAAAATACAATCAGCTTCGGATTCTATGGAAACCGTCAACACTGTTTTTCAACATACCCAACAAATTTCACTATGAATAAATCAGATCTGGTTCTAGCCCCTTCATGTATGAGTAGGCAGCGACATCAAATTTTCTAATAAGGACTGAAGTAATACACACAAAGCGACCATGAGGAACAGTACGAAGCACTGTGATACACAGATTATTGGATAGCTCTAATACAGTATTTCTAACATATAATCATACACTAAGATACAATAATAGACTCTTACCTGGATATTATCAAATTTTAATCCAGGCATGGTGAGATTCTCTTTATCTATGAACACGGTGCTGTACTGTTGTGTGGCAACTGAAATGAGAACATTTCTGGTTTCCTCACTAGGAAGCCAAGCATCATTTCTTCTATCTAGTTCACTCATATTTAAGGCTGTGGCAAACGGGTCATCACTCCCAGCAAAAACAGCTTGGATTTGTGAGAACGGCTTGGGGGATTGAGTTATTTCTAGAGATGGTGGAGGACCACCTGATTCTGGTCTCCCATTTCGCACAGAGAAAGTAGGGTTAGATGAAGCACAGGAGCTGTCTCCACCATTAGAAAGAGAGGATATTTGTTCTGGAACTGAAGAGCTTGCATTGGGATTACTAACAGAAATAAAATTGGATGTGGTAAACGAATCAAAAAAATCAGAAGCTAAAGTATTAGTGTTAACAGTATCGCCAAAGAACTTGCTTAGACTAGGACTTGGTTGAACTACCTGTGGATTAGACTTCATTGGAGTCTCAATTATACTACTAAAACTGGGAGATTTTACCATCTGAGGCTCAAAACCATCAGGTAGGAACAACTGTGGCTGGGTATTAACATTGTTTCCTTGGCTGAAGATGGTACACACAGGAATAGGCTCAGCCTCAGAAGATGGTTTGCTAGTACTGGGTGACGATATCTGGTCCTCAGGTTTGCTGTCATCAGTATTATTTGGTTTTGTTTCAACAGGAACATTGTTTCCCAACTTTGGTTCTTCCTTCACTGCTTCCTGAATTGATTCTTCCTTTAAAGATGCCTGATCATCTGTTCCAATCTCAGAAATGTCTTTGGGTGTTTCTTCGTGTTCAGTTTCACTCTCGTTACTTAAAAACCCTTCTTTATCCACTTCTGCTTGTGTTTTTTGAGTATCTTTAGCTTCCATTTGTTCTACAATCTCCTGGAGACAACCAAGTTCACCTGTGTCATCTTCACTGTTGTTTGGAGAATCTGAAATAATGACACTCTCCATCATATGTTCATTAAGTTTATCTACAAAATTATTTGAATCTTCTGATATAGTTTCATTCCCTTCAGACTCAAATTCATCTCCACCAAGATCAATGGTTTCCTCATGAAAGAGAATTTCTTCCTGAGTTTTCTGCTGAACTATGTCTCCGCTGTCATCTTCATCCGAGGTGCTCTTCGCATCCTTAGCGTTACTTTCATTTTTCTCCATGGTAGCTGAAGAGGGAAAAACCCCCACCAAAACAAGTGTTAGTTTTATTACTCAGGTGTTGCTCAGGTGCCACCCTGAAACTCCTAAGTATCGTACAAATACTGAAATTCTTGCTTTAAAAATATAGTCATTTCACTACTTGACGTCTTTCATTTAACATCTACCCACGGAATAAATTGTCTGAAAAAGGCTTTCTCTTTACCCTTTTTGCAAGTCGCAAAAATATTGGGGTTAAAGAGGAAATGCCTCCCGCTAAAGACAGACAAAACGGCATTTGCTTTTCTGTTCGCAAAGACTAGCTCGGTCCCCGTTTAAGGAAAGGGAAGGTTCAATGGCCACGGAGTCACGCTGCCACCAGCGCAGGCTGTCGAGCCGGCGGCCGGCCGCAC